ATGTGCTCCCATCAAACACAAGCCCTTGGGATTGCTGGCCATGCTCCGTTTGAGCTACTGGAATGTAATGGCAATAAATGTAATGCATGTTATTAATGATAACAAATGAGATATACAAAAGTGCTGATTTAAAATACCACTCATTTTGCACTTTCATTTGTCTTGCAATATTATGGAGCCACAAACATGATATGCAGTAGGGCTGAACAATTGTGGAAAATAATCTAATTGTGAATTATTATTATTGTTTTTTTTTTACCAATTTTGCGATTTAATTTAATATGCAATTATTTTTTAAAGCTCTTTATGTTCTTTATGAGCTATAAATCATTGTATAGTATGACCAACACAATATTAGATAGATTAAACATAAATGTTCTTTTCTGTAGCCCAGGCCTGTATGTTACGATGAAATTAGGTGATGCATGAATTGATATGAATGACATTTTTATTTAACAACTACAATCACAGTATATTGACTGATTTGTTGAACTTCCAAACTTGTAAGCATGTAATAATTATGACAACATAAAGCACTGACAAATAAGCCTGGTTTAAACATTAATATGAAGGTCAGTAACAAATCACACAAACTAAAGTAGATTGCAGAAATATAAAAACATATATATAAAAATCTATTGCTTTACCACACTACTTTAGGTCATTCAAAGTCACTGTAATAAACATGTATAAACATGTGGACTGCACTTTTTAAACACTGTCTGTTAACTTTAGACCAGTGGTTCTCAAACTTATTTGGTCGCGCCCCCCTTTAAACCTATAAAAAAATCTGGCACAATTTAACTGAAACAAGGGAACAAATGAATAAAATTAGGAAATTGTTCATTTGTGGCCTATATATAGGCAATCTTTTTTTTCTCTGCATGTCGTATGGGGATCCATAGAATATGGACTCACAATTCACTGAAATATTTTAGAAACCAGCATTTGCACTGTCTATTCACAGAATGAGCATCTTAAAATGTTCAAAAGAGTATCATGATTAACCTGAAAATGATTTTCTTTTTAAACCCAGCCTTAGTGACGACAAAGTAAGCCATAGGTATTTTTCCCACAAATAGTATAAACGCTTATAGACATTTCTGGTTTGTTTGAGCATCTCGAGACCAGCCCAAGACAGCATTATTAGCTGAATTGATGTTGTGAGTTTGAGATGGGAATGGCTCTGTTTATCCAGAGGATTGTTCAGGAAACTTCTCATACATTGTGTTTAGTGAGGCTAGTAATGCAGAAATTACACATTTCACCTCTAAGTTTAGTTGGTCTGCTATTTTTGTCCCTGTCAGCATCTCGAAGCCTCAGTGGATTTCAGGTGTCTCTGAGCACCAGATGCCATGAGCTAACAATACAGCACTTCACTGCTTGAAGAGCAGATGGCTAGACCCTGTATCTCCTTGAGGGATATTATTGATCCATGCGGCCCAGCATCTCTTCACTGTCTCTGTGATTGATGAAGCTCATGAACTTGGGAGAGAGACCTCCATTTTGATTTATCCCTTGCGGCACGACTTAAGAACATGGCTGAGCAGAGGCGAGAACAGAAAGCGTTAGTCCGATCAAAGATCAACGTCTACCAGAATGTCCAGAGTTGACCAGCCCAGCCCAGACCAGAAGAGAGAGTGATTACATAACTGAATTGATGTGTTCTGTGTACACATTGATTGGCATTTTACGTATACATTTTATATAGAACAATTTTTGTTTTTTTATATATATATATGTGTATATATATGTGTGTGTGTGTGTGTGTAAAAATATATTTTCATATTAGGGATGCACTGATTTTTCGGCCACCGAAAATTGTATTTTTGGTTTTCGGCCAAAATAACGAGCTGAAAAAATAATGCTCGGCGATATAACAAAAAAAAATTATCACAATATAATATTTTACATCGTTCGTAATCTATAATTATTTAAACATTTTTAGAACCTTTCTTAAACTGAGAGCAGTAGAAAAAAGGTTTAAATTTAACCACATACATTTTATATAGAACAATTTTTGTTTATATATATATATATATGTGTGTGTGTGTGTAAAAATATATTTTCATATTAGGGATGCACTGATTTTTCGGCCACCGAAAATTGTATTTTTGGTTTTCGGCCAAAATAACGAGCTGAAAAAATAATGCTCGGCGATATAACAAAAAAAAATTATCACAATATAATATTTTACATCGTTCGTAATCTATAATTATTTAAACATTTTTAGAACCTTTCTTAAACTGAGAGCAGTAGAAAAAAGGTTTAAATTTAACCACTGTATTTTTAATTTACCCAATTTATTAAGACAACTTATTTTAGTCTTAACAAACTAAATAACCAATAAAACAAAATAACAAAATACAATTGAAAATCTCCTTTCTTATATTTTAAATGCAGATTAAATAAGTGTTAAGGAAACATTTAGCCATGAGCAAAATAATGCACCTCATTAAACAGTTTATTCAATGCAATGAAAATAATGGCTGTCTATAAAAAAGTACATAATGTCTAAACTAATATTTATAAATCAAATATGATTTTGTAAATTGCATAAACAAATAATGAACAAAACAGCATCATGTATTTATGCAGCTTAATACAAATATCCAAAGCGCCGATCACACGATTGCATTTAAAAACATATGAGACGCAGTGGAATGGAATAAACCCACATGAGACATGTTTTCTAAAAGTTGAACCTCTTTTAACTTTACATGGCTTTCTATTCAACTCTTGTGCGAGACGTGAGTGCAACATTCATAATTGTGCGTCTCAAGAATGTGCCGAATATGTGTTCTGTGTGAATGGCTTGGTTTCGGTTTTAACCTAAACAATATATTCTCCGCATTGAGCTTCTATATTTCTCTAATATTTTGAATGGAAAATGCAGCAGCAGCGCATCTTGTGGTTTCAGCTGGATATAGACTAACAAAAACATTAAAATGCAACAACATCATCCTCACCGCATCTCGTGAGCCGCTTATAAGGCTCACTGACGCACACCAAAAATTCAGATATACCATCTTTTCATTCGAGTGCGAATTTTTTATTTAAAGATCATGAAAATCGGACTTTTCCAGGTTTTAAGTGCTATAATCAGGTCCCCGGTGCATCTACCAACAGAGGAAACGTGAAAAAGATTAACCCAGTAACTTTGTTTTGGTAAGCCTTTTTCTGCAAGCGTCTGAAAAAATGAGCGCGTCTGATTTCACTCCCTTGGTGACGTGGCAAAGGGATCTCATTATAATATTACCGCCCCTTAATCTGCACGGTGCCGTCATTTTAATTTCGCAAGCGACAACGGTGTAATGCGATGGCATCTCTCAGAAGACAAGAGAGCAGTGGATTTATTGATTTATTTAATGTATATTGCTGCTGCCACACAGATCTAAAATAAACATGCGATTTATTTCCCAGTTGTTTACCTTCATAGACATAACCAACTGTATTTGTAACCGACTAATATTCCTGTTTTCGATTCACAGTCTCTTCATCGCAGACAGGCACGGCACTCATTTCCGCATGTGTTTGTGTGTTCTGTTGGCTGTCTGCTTGTCACTCATAACACGTGCCTTTTAATGAAAAAAGCTTTAAACTATCATGCGATATTTCAAACATTTTTTTTCTATCATTATCGATAACTGTGTGCCATCAGTAAATATCGATACCGTTTTATCGCCCAGGCCTACGGAAAAATACTATATATAATATATATATGGCATGCCTCAGCGTGCAGGTTTCAATCTCTCAAACGCTCCGCTTAATATTCCGATCTATGAATGTGTGTTCTGCTCACGTACTGCTCATACTCACCGGAAAAGCAAAGTCCGTTCAAATAACACACCGACAGGATATTTCTTTGTAGTATATTTGTTCCTCTCTGCAATAGCGCTACTGTGCTGTAACATATGGCAACAATGGTAAAATGACGCTACTCTCTCGTGACGCTCTGCTCTGGCATGCCTCAGCGTGCAGGTTTCAATCTCTCAAACGCTCCGCTTAATATTCCGATCTATGAATGTGTGTTCTGCTCACGTACTGCTCATACTCACCGGAAAAGCAAAGTCCGCTCAAATAACACACCGACAGGATATTTCTTTGTAGTATATTTGTTCCTCTCTGCAATAGCGCTACTGTGCTGTAACATATGGCAACAATGGTAAAATGACGCTACTCTCTCGTGACGCTCTGCTCTGATCTGCTCACATGCTCTGATAATAATAGCTTTGTAGGATTATACATTATTTGGTTAATTAGTTTAAAAAAAGTTATATCTGATTCTTTTGCATGGAACTGAATAAAAATAATATATTGATATTTAATATTAAGGTAACACTTTACAATAAGGTTCCATTAGTTAGTGTTAATGTAACCTATTAACTAACATGAACGATACATTTATTACAGTATTTATTAATCTTTCCTAATGTTAGTTCATGAGAATACAGTTGTTCACGGTTAGTTCATGTTAATTCAGAGTGCATTAACTGTTAACAAGCACAACTGTTGATTTTAATAATGCATTAGTAAATGTTGAAATTAACATTAACTAAGATTAATAAATGCTGAAGAAGTATTGCTTATTCGTTCATGTTAACTAAAGTAGTTAACTAATGAACCTTATTGTAATGTGTTACTAATATTAATATAAATTCTGTCCAATTTTATAGTGTTACTTTCAGTAAAAAAGTATGTTGCGTTTTTTTAATTCATTATCATTAAAAATGAGTTAAATTAAAATGTCTTACAAAATTACTTTGTATTATTTAATAAAATAATAAATAATCATTACAAAGCAGTTTTGGTTTTCGGCCCAGAATTTTCATTTCAGTGAATCCCTAGTTCATATATATATGTGTGTACACGTGTTTTATATATATATATATATATATATATATATACACACACACACACATGTATTTGAACATATATTTACAATTTTTACACGCACACATAAATTATAATTACTTACAGGTTTTTTTTGTCTACTACAGATTATGTGTATTTTGAAAACTCCTCCAGTAACCCGTATCTGATTCGTCGAATAGAAGAACTCAACAAGGTGAGGTTGGAACATGTTATATTATATTCTGTCATAATTGTTGATACAAAATGTCGTACTTCTCTCTTTTTTTTAAGCACAACTGTTGATTTTAATAATGCATTAGTAAATGTTGAAATTAACATTAACTAAGATTAATAAATGCTGAAGAAGTATTGCTTATTCGTTCATGTTAACTAAAGTAGTTAACTAATGAACCTTATTGTAATGTGTTACTAATATTAATATAAATTCTGTCCAATTTTATAGTGTTACTTTCAGTAAAAAAGTATGTTGCGTTTTTTTAATTCATTATCATTAAAAATGAGTTAAATTAAAATGTCTTACAAAATTACTTTGTATTATTTAATAAAATAATAAATAATCATTACAAAGCAGTTTCGGTTTTCGGCCCAGAATTTTCATTTCAGTGAATCCCTAGTTCATATATATATGTGTGTACACACACACACACATGTATTTGAACATATATTTACAATTTTTACACGCACACATAAATTATAATTACTTACAGGTTTTTTTTGTCTACTACAGATTATGTGTATTTTGAAAACTCCTCCAGTAACCCGTATCTGATTCGTCGAATAGAAGAACTCAACAAGGTGAGGTTGGAACATGTTATATTATATTCTGTCATAATTGTTGATACAAAATGTCGTACTTCTCTCTTTTTTTTAATTTTTTTTTGATGCAAGCAGATTTCTTTTTTTGTTGTTTGTTTTGTTTGTTTATTTGGCCATGAGTTGATTTTGACCAGTATGAATTATAGTGCCAATATATCAGCATACATAATGAATCTGGTGAGTCACTGTTCTTACAGCCTAGAGTCAGACTAACTGTGATTGGTTGGGGCTTTTGATGTCCACCAATCATTTATCATACATCATCAATTGCATGTGCAGAGATTTGAACATTACACTGAACATGGATTATTGACATATGCCAGCTCTCTGCTTATGCATTGTCACTCATGGCAGCGTAACAGACTGTCTCTGTCACCTGCTCCCCTCTGTTGTGCATTGCTAATGCTCAGCCATCATGCTGTTGTCTACTGATTCACACTGGGCTGTTTGAGATGAAGATCCAGCCGAAAGAGACTTACATAATGCTGAGAATGACACAGGCATTTTTCCTGGAGCGGGGATTAAAATACTTTATATAACCTCATTTTGAAGGGCTATGAAACTCAGCAGGATGGGTAAACTAGTGGAAGTGGTGTCTGTGTTCAATATGTATACGTGTTAGTCAGAATTCAGTGCTGTCTTGAATATACACAACTCTTAAACCACACTGTGTTGCATTGAGGAAGATGTGGTTTTCATTTCCATATAGAGTGGTTCATTTTCAATGCTGGAAAATGAGTAGAAATTTAGTTATTAATAGGGCTCAACTTTTTACTTGGCAGCTTAAATATTGGTGCACTTGCATGTAAATCATAGGCAGTATCATTCAGTTCAAGTTATACTTAAATTGTGGGTTTTTACAAGTACATGACATGAAGACAGTAAGAGCACTTAAAGCACTTACTTTACACACTGTATAGAGAAAATGACACTGTGTGAATGTTCTTTCTAACACTGTTTCTCTTTGCATGTCTCCCCAAGACTGCCAATGGAAATGTAGAAGCCAAGGTGGTCTGTCTCTTCAGGCGGAGAGATATATCCACCAATCTGAACACTCTAGCTGATAGCAATGCAAGTGAGTACCTGACTGTTTCAGTCTCCTCCAATTCACGCCTCTTCATCACATTTAAGATAAAGATACGGTGTCACTATGTAGTAGGGGTTGCACCGACTAGTTGACTTCAATGCTCTGCCATGACGCTTTAAGCTTGACGTCGACTAGTCGCTGGTCCTATAGAGGGCGCAACGGGATTAGAAATCTTTGAAGGACTTCCACATTTACGCTCCGTTTACAAACAGTTCAAATGACAAATAAATGCATACTCTGAAAGCGCTCCACAAGACATGTGTGATTATATTACTGGATGCTTGAAATTGAACGGGAGAATGCACATTTTAAACAGCTTATTGTACAGGTAATTTAATCGCCGTTCTAATCTAATGCGCTGCTGCACTGTAACACACACACACACAGGCTACAGACAGTAGCGCACATCGCGCGCACAGAGTCATTCAGCGCGGAAATGTATTGTCAACACTGTTCTGTGATTTCTCAGTAAAATAGCTTAGAAACTGAAAAGTTCAAGCATATATTTCTTAATAACTAAATTCCACAGCTTCACTACTAGTAGAGAGACGCTGCCAGGTAGAATTAATTCACACACGCAATCGCTGTCTCACTAATGCATTCATATGAATGTAATCTTTACTGTGCTACTTTATCTGTATCTGATTTAGAACGAGCAGAAATCTGTGAGAAATATAACGACCCAAAGACAAAAGAACTGATAAAAAAGATGTTATAGGAGCAACAGCCGTGTGGGCAGCGCTGTCATATGCCATAGCTGTTCACAAGGTGTTTGTCACAGCTCCAGACTTATTTGTTCATTAATGACGTCATCAGCGACTAGTCGACTTCGACTCGACTTTCATCACATAAAAGT